ATACAGCACAATTTTATGCTTTTCCCAATTTAATCACCAGGCTCGTATCTTGTTTGTGGCGTCAATCAATATTTGCAATTTGCAACCCAATTATTATGATTTTGTGTACACGGTAAAAATAACATATTTTAACTAAACATGCATAACGAGAACGATTAACTCTATTTGTAGCAAGTGCATGTATTAGATTAGGTAAATATGGGATGAATATTAGTGGCGTGATCACAATCCGTTATACAGAATTATTATATTATTATTATATTATACAAAACAGATTGCTTTTATATAACTTAGCGATGTGACATTTTAAAGTCACCATATTTGTTTGATATCACTGTGGTCGAAGCGCCGAACGTTAAAAAACATTCTATAGCTTGTTAAAAATATTTAGATTAGATTTTAGAAGATTTAATAAATATTAACTAATATTGGTATGGAGATACGTTACCAATAGTAAATAATTTATTTTGTATTCTACTGTTAGACAGCGAAACTATTGAAAAATAATGTAGTCAAAACAAATGTCTTTATTATGACAACGACGTGTTATTTTAAAGTCACCATTTTTTTTTTTTTTTGATGTTAATATGGACGAAGTGCTGAACATTAAAAAATAAAACTAATTTATGTTCTAAAATAATTATTTTCGCTGTTTTGTAAAACAACCAAAAAATTTATAAGAATACTAATCTGATTGATACGAAATATTTTTGTAAAATCGTTTCAAGTTTTTACAAACCATTACTTGTTATTATTTTTTTAAGCAGAGTATGTATTTAATTTGTGAATCTCAGTATCAATGACCTCTGAAATTGACCTAATTTAGCGGAATTATATTACTGTCACTACGTACAGTAGCTTTAAAACAATTAAAATACAGAAATACAGTGTTTCCACTCTCTTTCCTTATTCAGTTACTTCAATTAAACCGTGAACAGTTTAAATTTAAGTAGAATCCCATCACGTTCCGAACGCTTTCGAGGTACAACGGAGGTTAAGCCACCGCTATTCTGTTGCAATGTCGCCTTTGAAAGCGGATTCGCCGACTGTCGTCGCACCTGGTATAAAACAGGAATGGCCGAATACTTCACTGTTTCATTTGGTAACATTTTTAGTTTAGTTATCGACAAGTTATAAAGTTATTTATTTCAGTGTTTAGTGACTGTAATTTTGTGTTTTAGTTTTCAAGTTTTTGTATGATATTATGAAAAAGCACGTATACGAAGTCAAGAAAGAGTTGATACGGATAAAGCCTACTTTTTGTCATGAGCAAAGAAGATGATATCATATGGATTACCCCGATTTGTAAGTATCGAATAAGAAAATGTTTGTGTCATGTTATCATCATGGGCGTATCTAGGATTTTTGTTTGGGTTGAGCTCACACACTTCAAAACCTAAACACTTTTTCGTTTGATTTGAAAAAAAAAGGTGACGCAATCAGCAACTCACCGTTATAAACATTGGTTTAACTGCAAACTTTCCTTTAAATACGAGATTTGACAACAATGCATAGCCCAGTTGCCAATTGTGCATACGCTGCGATTAATGCGTGCCGTTATTTGAGGTTACACTAGCTCCTCCAGCAGCGGGGTATGAAAATTACTAAAAAAGGGTTAAGAAACGAACGGGATTTGAAAAAATAAGCTATTGATAAGTGTTGCTAAAGGACAAAGGTAGCTTCCTTATAAATCCGTATGTATATGAAATATAGGTATTTCTAAACAAGATTCATATAATATGTTTTTGCTACTTATTACCAAAGATATACTGGTTATATCAAGCATATTTAAAAGACCTTCGCAGCAATTTGTTGTCAAATTCAAGTATTTTAAAATTCAGACGTACATATTTCCAGCCACGAAAATTACACGTATCTTTTAATATCGTGCTCATCCTTTGATAAACGGATATACCAAACCCAAAAGTTTTAATTTAACTGTTCAACTCTGACGTGAATATTTTATCTTGGTCTGAGTAGGAGGTGAGCAGAACAAATGAACAAAAGCGAAGCTCGATGCTGCAGACCATTGAATATACTTTAAAATAGTGTGTTTATTTGTGACAGTATATTAATTATAAATATGTTTGCTGTAACTTGTAATAATAGCGGAATGGGATCCTAATCTTAAACCACGTTTTCAAAAGCATCCTAAAGGATATGTTTCAGATATTTTATTACCTTTCCAATATAGAAATGTCATGAATTATTTCAAGAAGAATTGACTAAATCGCTGGCGCGTGATGAAATCACAATCTAAAAGACAAACATAAAATTGAACGAAATGTTATTGTAGTGTCTCATTTTTATGCCCTATAAGGTTTATACATAAAACACGAGCACTCAGAAAATATTATGTGAAGCATACGTATGGTTAGGATATATAGTGTCTACTTTTACGTTTAAACGACATTTAAATTATATTCGTATTTAAATTTTCTTAAATAATTTTTATAACTTCAATGCTTTTTACAAATATTTATTTTATCTACCATGTAGAGACCTAAAGTTGGCTTAAAACTGTACAGTTGGATAGACTTATACAGGGTTGGGCAGATGTGTCGGAACACCTATAGGGTAAACTATAAAATTTATTATAGTAGAATATATTGAACGTCCACCGCTATTGCCAGATTTTAAGTCCATTAGAATATTTCCCTTGGGGTCATTTAAAATCTGTTGTCTACAAGACCAAGCCTCAGTCGTTAGAAGAGTTGGAAGATCTTATTAGGATGGCCGTTCAAGGAATATTACAGCATGCAATTCAAAATTCCTTAAGAGCCTTCGTAGATCGATTAGGATATTGTCAGGCTGCCGAATGTCACCAGTTTGAACAATTACTATGAATCATTTTAAAATAAATTCAGGTGCTCTATATTTTGCAATAACAAATTTCATTTTCATTAAATGAAATTTTTACTCTTTATTTTGTTTTATTCAAGATATAAAAAACAATAAATCGCAGACCCACCAAACCCTATATCATTATAATCGGTGAAAATATGTCTTTCTAAAAATGTTACAATAAACAGGGTGGTTCATTTAAAAAACTGCCTAAAAATAAAGTAGATGTTGGAAATTAAAGTACGTCGTTGAAAAGAATAAAAATACTACAAAAACCTTTATTAAAGGTATTTTTTAAACAAATTTATGGTTCACCCTGCACACAGGTCTTCCGACACATTTGCCCAACCCTGTATATTAACTATATTCGTATAAAAATAGAGACAGAGGAAATAAAGCTTACATTGAATATTTCAGCAGGTTCAAATATCTACGTTTGTTTTTTTCTTGTAAATTTTCATAACTTTAAGTTTTTGTCTAGAAAAGAATCTGGAAATAATCCCAGAGACCAATCTGACCCTCTTAAATCCATTACTAAAATTTGTTTCAAGCAAAAATCTGAGATTTGAGGCACAAATAAAATTACTTTAAGAATATCCCTTGTGGATATGTTTATTGATATTTATTTTGAGTTGCGCGGTTTGGCTAAGGAACATCGTTGGAATATTTCCAACTTGCCGTAAAATATGATGATTCCATATATTTATTTATGAAACAGATTATGGAAGGAAGCTTGGATATTAGTGTATGTAAATTTAGTACTTCCCCTCTAGTTGTTGAAGATTTGACGCTTGAAGAGATTGCCAAATATGCATAGTGATGCTAAATAGTCCATAATTTATATTTAAGTATTTTAAAATAATTAAGAGTACTTCAGGGTACAAACCCAAAACCTCTTGTGTTCATATCTATTAATTATACCACAAAGTTAATTGCTATGGTTATACATTGAAACTTCATGAATTATTCCCATAAGATTCATTCATTTATCAAATTTTAAAGCTCTAATTCGATTATAGGTACCTTTGCAGCCATATTTCATCATATCCCGTAAACAGCTAAGATAATTCATCAGCAGAATCACCAGGCACAGACCGGTTTCGAACTTATTAATTCTCATCGGTATGCCTATCTATCTATAAACATGTTTAGACTGTGGGTGAGGTATAACCTAAGTATGTGCAATATCTTAAATGTCATTTGCTACTAGGTCACTCTTTGCCAGGTACACATCAGTAGTTGTTTCCCACAATAACATTAGTTCAAATTAGTTAAAAAGTTTATTTCTAGTCGTCTAGTGTGAAACAAGTTATGCTTTCATAGTATCGACAAATTAGTAGGTTACTCTCTGTCAGTAGTACAATGCAGTGCTTGAGTAGCAATGACAATTAAGATATGATCTTACATGTTTTTGGGGTCGCTAATCATGAATCTGTATTCCAAAATATTCTAACACGTCAAATTACGATATATGGCCGGTATTTTACGCATTACATCAATTTGGAAATACATTTACACGCAAAAGAGGCTGATACGCTCAATCCCGAACTCAAAATCCAAAGCCCCAACAACCCTATGAGTATGTTTAGACCTTTTTTTAGTTTATTGAACAATTTGACGTGACAGAGTATTTTGGAGTTCAGATTCGTAATCAGCGACGTCAAAAACATGAAAGATACCTACTTCCTTGTAAAATAAAGATTCATGATCGTGTTTGGCGCATGAGAAAATTAAACCGAATAAAAATTGCAATTTTTCGACGAGAAAAGCCTCTCGATCCCACTCATCAATGTTTGGGTCATATGAAAGCAAGAATATCCTGTATACGTCCAATTTAACGCTCTAAGGCATTCCAAAGGGCTTTGCAAAATAATTAACATTTGAATAAGACAAGTCCTATTACCTATTTGGATATGTAGAACCTTAAAATGTATTGCTTTATTGTACGAACCTGACAAGGTCGAAGAATTTATATAGCCCGTGATATACGTAAAACTCTTTCTAGAAATCGTAAAGTTTATCGAGGTGATTTAAGTAATTAAAAAAAAAACTTATTTAATGATGTTGGTTTTTAGTAGTTTGTAACAAATTTTATCTCCAAATTCAATTTTATAGCAGTAATTCTATATGGCGATCTTGTTTTTATTTTTACTCACCAATATATCACAAACATCATTTCCACAATCGTGCTTCACACTTGCGAATAACCATGTTTCAGCATCAAAACGAACAACACACTTTATCCTTAACTGGCACTAATTCCTAAAACTAACAAAAGTTTATCACGTCAAAACAACCCATCTTATTATTTTCATTATCTTATTTTGGCCGCATTTTTGGCACGGGATAATCAAGTAGGCGTCTCAATGCAACAAATTTGTTGTAATTAGACGAAAATCTTGTCCGAAAAATATTTAAACGCGCTTAGTAGGCCTATAAAACGGGTAATCCTATTTTAAATAAGACTTTCGCTTGTTTGCTCTGGTATTTCGATAATGGGAATGCAAATAAGCACGTGAGAGTCGCGTATTTTGCCGGAGAACGCGGGGTTCTAGGTGGATTCAGAGTGTGCACTGAGGAGTCGCGGTACCGCAGATAGCCTGGCTTGGACGGGCAATCGCGGTTTTAGCAGGACTGGGATGGGTTTCAGGAGGGTTACAGGTGGTTGGGGCGCGTTTCCGTCGCGGTTTTATAAAATATTGAAAGCGTTATGAAATTAAAACATTCTGGTTACAACTACTCTGCGAACTAATGTTCCGATCAATGTTAAATTATACGCGCAATATCTGGTAAATACTCCTGAGTAAGACTCCTCAAATTATTAATTGTATTTTTTAATAAATGTCAACAAAAACTGTGTCACCAATTTGCTTTAAAAAAAATTAAAAACAAACCTATTCTGGTTATTGATTTTCTTAAAGTCATTTCCAGATTTTAAGCAAATCGGTAGAGTGATACCCGTTCAAAAAAAGGCAACATGCACAATACAAGGGATTGCAGGCTAGTAACTATACCTACAAGTTTTTCAAAGATACCTACTGGGATAATAAAATATTTTCAAATAGTCTACATGTTCCTTAATAATAATTATGGTACCTTTAAATCTATAGACCTATTTATTGAGAAATAGCCGCAAGGATCTATATTAGGTCCAGTACTACTTTTATTGCATATAAATGACATAGATACGCTCAAATTTACTACACTGGATGTAGCGTTGAATGGGGCTTATATATATACAGAGTGTTTATATACTTGTACAAACCTTAAAGGGTGAATCTTTGACTAATTTTTAGATAAAAAGTTCATATGAACATGGGTCCCCAACGGTTTGGTTATCGAGATACAAAGCGTCCAAAAATTGTTTTATTTAGTATTTTGATTATACTTTTGTTCAATAACATGGCAATTTGACGAAATTTGGAAAACTAGGAGTATTGATGATGAGGAACACAAATATTTACTTTTTTGTTTAATGTTAACGGGCGCCACATACAGTGCTTACCTGGATTTAAATAACCACAACTTTTTTGTGCCGCTCTGTATGTCATTTATGACTGAACATACCTATTCTCTCAATTTTACTTCCAAAAGGCATTCTTTGTTGGAATTTTGTAAGTTTAAGAATTTTTGAGAAACAAGTGAAAAATAAAAATTCGCACACAAAAATTTAACCAAAATACCAAACAAAAAATTTATTATTATTATTATTTTTTTGGACGCCTCCGTTTGTCTCTGTAAGCGTTCGAATTAGGATCGAATTCTGATTAAATTTAAACTGTGCAAGGTACCTGTTAAAACTTTCCTAAATGTGTTTCTGTCTTCTTTACATAATTATCGTCCAGCTAAGCAAGGTCAATTTAAGAGGTCATTCAGCCAATATTTTTGAAATTATGTGACGCAAATTGTAGTTAATTATACAGGGTGAATCACAACTCATCCAAAAAATTTGGGAAAAATTGAGTCAATATCGTAAAAAAATTTTTGTACCCTTTATAGTTACCGAGAAAAAAATTATTGAAGTTGTAGTATTTACAACCCTTACATCGCTACATTCGTGTTGTGCGCTGTACGCAATGCGCTCTCACTCCACGTGGCCCCAGGCGATTCCTAATACTGCAATCTGATTTTAGTATTAACGTTTTTGCGATAGTGTTTACATTAGTTTTTCAGTTGTCAAAAATGCTTACGTATCGGAGTTGATGGATATCGTTTTAATTTAAGGAGGTTCGATACATCTCTTGCGAGGCAGGCGGTGCGGGAGGTAAGCCTATGCTTATACACGGTAGTTTCGTTGTGGTAACCGTACATAAACTAATTTCAGCGAACTAAATATAATATATACGAATGAAATTTATACAACACATATTAGCTTGCATATATTTTTCGTGTTTAATGCACGGCAATTAACTTTTTATTTGAATAAAAGTGTCTATTTATTCATTTAAGAGCTTGTAAAATGATGGATGAAATCTGGCAACATTGCCCTGGCGTGGTGGTAAAAGTTGGGTCAACTGTCATTAATCATTACCAGAGAGCGGACAATTTGTGACTTTAACCTTGAACATAGATATGTCATTCATAAACCTAGATACATTACCCATGACGCAGTGGCGTGTCGGGTATGCATCGGAAATTTACGTGATAATTCACGAAAATTCCACGGTACATACATTTTTAGGCGTTATAAAATATTTAGAAAATCAGAAATTGTATACTACATATTTATTAAATAAAGTTCGGTTAAAAATAGTGTCGTTCTTTTAATTGGTAATTAGGAGTCTATGTAACGAATATCCTCAGGCGACGCACATGATAGAATAGTCCAACTCATGCTTCATTCATAACAGGGCTGCAGTTTGAATTCTGACCAATAGGAATTCGATGAACGCAACCGATGTCGACCAATGGACTAGAGATGGGCGCGAGTGTCATTTCATTTCTTTACAACTAAATTAACTTAATTATTTTCTCGTTATTTAACCTGTTCACATGATTTATGGATTTTAAATAAATGGTACAAATCTTCGCGAGGATAATACGATATATTTGCTATACATAATAATTATAGTTTGCATAGTTTATTACATTTTTGAACGCGTACACATCTCTACCAAAATTTGACCTATTCTTCGGGTTAAAGTCACCATTGTCCGCTCACTAGTCATTACTATCAACTGTGCTTTGCGCGTATGTCGTAAACATGAATGAACATCCAAGATACCAAGGAAAAGTAATGACTGAAGAGCAATATAAAATGCGTATGAAACAGAATTTGAATTGATGAGAAAAAAGTAAAATGTCCAAACCGAGAATCTATATGATAACTGTCAAGAAGCTCAGTGTATGATAGTGAGACGTCCCTTTGTCAAATTGAAGATTATGACGGAATATATACTATTCGTTTTGCAAAGAGATCCTTTCAATTTTTGTTTCAAATTGCTATTATATTGCATTAGATCACGAAAAATTTATTTAATATTAATTATTACTACATATGTTTTCGTCTGCAATAAATTTATAGTCTATAATCGAGCTATTCAAATATAGCACGTCAGTCGAAGCGTTAAATACAGCGTACAGTGTTGCCATATTTTCTTTCATTGGATCAGATGTTGTTCAAATTTGTCAAAACGGTATATATTCATTCCATTATCTCAATAATTACATTGTAAGTACATATTTTTATTGTTTTAAAATGTTTAGTAATATTTAATTCTTTACTTACAATTTTAAGTAATAAGAGCCTGTGTAAAGAGCATAATTTTTAATATCATTTTTCAAAAAACTGTATTGGCAATCGATCTGATATTTTTACACGAGGCAATTGGCATATTTATTAACAGATTTCAATGATATTGAAAACTTTCTTACCATTTTTTTTTCGGTATCGAACCTCCTTAAAGTGAAGCAAAACAATATTTGTGTTATAGGTGACGCAGTTGTGTTATGGTAAAGCAAGACAACAGTTGTGTTACTTCGTACTGGGCAAAATGGGCAAAAATGTGTTTACGCGTCGTTGGACAAAATTTTGAACAGTTGTTTTAACTTCAGGTATATAAGTGGTAGCGCCACATTTTTCATATATTTTTTGTGTACCACTGATATTCTGGTATTTATTTTATTTTTAAATATTACTCTCAAAGTACGTTTAAAATTAAGTATTTACACTGCACCTAAATTAAGTATATCTCTCACGTGTCGCCTTACTTTGTAGTTAAAATTTCTCCGTCAATTTATGTAATCGATTCGACAAATGAATACTAATCACTTAATCAGGTTCAGTTTACGCTTACTCTGGCGGACAATATTTACTTTTACACAAAACCGTAAAAAGCAAACACGCATTGAAAACTTTCCGTAAGGTTCGCTAAATTTTAATTATATCCTCTGTAGCATTCCGCGAGTGTTCAATTATTTTTTTAGTGTTACGATCTGCGTAATTGTTAATATGTTGAAAGATTTAACTAGCAAATATTTGGGAAATTACACAGAAGGGTAGTACAATAAGGATTGGTACATATTGGCCTCGTATAATGTTTGCTTTGCTTGCTTAAAACATTTTCTTTTCTGTTACATTAGTAATTTCTGCTTTTATTGTCACTGAAAGTATCACAACAATTTTTTAACAAAGTCTTTATTACCTTTGGATACATTTTGTGGAATAAAACCTCTATTTCCGCATGAGGGTTGATGACACATTGCCAGTACTAGCTACACAAAGTTGTAACATTTGTTCAGCCAAATGAGTAGCTTTATGAGGCGCCAGAGATATCCTAAAAGTGAAGAAATAAGTAGATAATTACGTATTTTTTAAATAAAAATGCATACGTAATTAATTATAATTTATTTTCGGTTTACTTTACCTGTGGAAAGTATCAAGAGCGCTGCAAAGTATTTGAGTAGCCTTTTCTGGGTCATTGGAACTCAGGGCTTTAGCTGCTTCATCGTATTGACCTTCGCACCACTTTAGCAACCGTAGATTTTCTGTTAATGCGACAGTCTCCTTACATTTGGGGCATTTTACGACATCATTCGATATAGGTAGGGTGAAAAAGAAGGAACAGTTCTTATTTGTACATCTGAAGGAAAACAGAAAACAGATCTTGAAAATAGATTGTAATATTTTTTCACTGTAAATAACAAGGATAGAGAGAAGATTTAGATTAATCTGTCACTTTTTAGTAAGTAAAACAAAATAACAAAATCTAAATTTTTTGCCGAATCTTTAAACTCTATATTATCATTAATTTTTATCATCAGTCTGTCCAATAAGTTAGCTCTAATATTGTTACCACAGAAAAGCAAAGCAGCAGATTTTTTTTGGGTTTATTTTTAACAAATGATTGTTAGACGCAGATGCTAGGTTACATAAATCATTATTAATCTTAAAAGTTAGCATGGACTACTTCAGAGGGATTATAAGAATATATGATATTTACAATAAACCAGCGATTTAATAACATTTAAAGTGTAGACAGAATACAGCAACGGCCCTAATATACTTCCTTGTGGCACACCAGACAGCATGACAAGAGGTTGTGAAAACTTATTATCGAGTAATACTCGCTGCTTCCTATCACAAAGAAATGAGGTTATTAGCGATGATGCGGGATTTGTTAAACCTGTATAATGAAAAATTGAATTGAGTATATCGTGACTAAGAATGTCAAATGCCTTACTATAATCCAACAAAACCAGAACCATAGCGTCACTATTATCTCTCGAAGAGCAGTTGAACAGCTATATCCACACCTAAAACCAGATTGTTTCTCCGGCAGGATATTGTTGGCATTAAGAAATGCAGTAATTTGCATTTCCATAACTTTTTCAAGAATCTTACTCAATGTGGGTAAAATTGAGATCGATTGAAGATGGGTAGGTTCTGTTGGATTGTTAACCTTAGACTGATCTATACATGCATTTATGATGTACGGGCAACATAACGAGCGTTCAAATAAAAACGTGGTCGAAGTTGGCTCTGACACATTGGACGTAGGGAGTAGCTTATAGCGACCAACTTAACCTCATTTCTCAACGAGCTGTATAGCAGCTGTCAGTTTCAATAACGTTAATGACTATATAACTTTATTTTAAAGAATAATCGTGATAACAATAACAAACAATTAAAGGAGCTGCGGAAAGTGTCCCCCTCCTTGTTATAACAATAAATTAAAGCAGCTGCTGAAAGTGTCCCCCTCCTTGTTCCAAGCACTTTTCACACCTGTTCCTCAAAGAATTAAAGACATTTTCTAAGATGCTCGGGGTATTGTTAATTTCACGAATCTTGTCTATAAGTCGAGCCTGCAGATGGTTTAAATCAGGAATAGGCAGTTCAAAAATAGTGTTTTTAAGGTAAGGCCACAAAAAGAAATCACACGGCGTAATATCACATGACCTCGGTGGAAATTCATGTTCAGCATTGAGACTTATTAGTCGATTTTGGAAAACTTCCCTCAACATATTCATCGTCTCGCCTGCCGTATGTGCCCTTGCGCCATCTTGTTGAAAGTAAAAGTTTGTAATTTCGTTTTCTTCCAGCTGGTTAACAAAAGGAGCGATAATTTCTTCTCTATACCTTTGCGCAGTAAGAGTACCATTAAAAAAAATAGGTCCATAAATCCTCCTTCGATTGAGAGCACACCAAACTCCAATTTTTTGAGCGTGTAGAGGGCCCTCGACAAAAAAGTTATCTGGTTTTTCAGAAGACCACATTCTCATATTCTGTGAGTTTACGTAACCACTTAAATGAAACCAGGCTTCATCAGAAAAAAAGGTGATATTATGAAGTTCACCGTAGTTGTTTAAAAACCATTCACAAAATACAGCCCGTCGCGGAAAATCAACTTCATGAAGTTCTTGCTGACAAGTTAAACGATAGGAGAACAAACGCAAATCTTTTTTTAACACTGTGTGGCAGGTACCGACTGATACTCCCACCATTTGTGATAAAACACGTACAGAAGTTCTTGGCGCATTTTCCATTATTTGTTGGACATTTTCTTTTAATTCTTCAGTCCGCTTTTTAGGTCGGCCGCTTCCTTCTTTTCTTGTTACACTGCCCGTTTCACGAAAAACATTAACACAACGCTGAACTGCACTTTGAAAAATTTTGTACTCAACAACGCCGGGAAATTGATTTTGAAATTCTATGAAACATTCCTCAATAGAATACTTCCATATTCCATCAATCTTGCGTCCATTTCTAAAGTAGGACTCTATGATAAACACTTTTTGTTCTTGAGAAAACACCATTTTAAACGCTTTTTAAAACGAAAATATTCAAATTGATAGCGGCGATATAGCGCTTTGACAGATGACGTTTAAGTTCATTTGCTATACGCTACGCCCTACGTCCAAATTTTCAGAACCAACTTGACCACGTTTTTATTTAAACGCTCGTTATAAGTATAAGGGTCATATTTAAATTATCACATCCAAATGCTTTAGATTTCATATTTTTAATTATTCTATATGCATTATCCATTATCAAATTATCAGTTATGGTGTCAAAACTAAACGAATTATCAACAATTTTATTATTTTTATAAAAATTTATCAATTCAACATCAGGCAACACTATTGCATGATGATTCAATGAAATATTTATTTATCTTATCAACATCCCTTAAATTTTCAGGTATATTTATATCTTTTCTTTTGCATATATTTAATCTTTTCAATTCATCCCATTTGTCTTTAGCATTGGAGTTTCGAAATTTGTAAGTAAGGTACGCTCTTTTTTCGGCCCTAATGGCACAAGTCGTGTCATTTCTATACGGCCCAAACCTCAGGAGATCTGGACAGTCCATACTTTTTAAAGGCCTTATTACGTAAATTTTGCATTAACTTGATAGTATCAGTGAGCCACGGGCAATAAATATTCTTGCGAGATTCTTTTAAATATCTGGTAAAATCAACAGTCTTAAAAGTTACACCTAATCAATTTTTTCACATTTTAAAACAATTTAGATTATACGGAGTGATTATCAAAGCTTGTTATAAAATGACGTATCCTGAAACATCCTCTGTGTCTCACCTTATCCTTTTACTATAATCTTCGAGTCCTGTATCCAATGTGGGCCAGTTGAAAGTGCATGCCTTGCACTGGCAGTCGAACCAATACCTGGAAGACAAAGACCTCTGTCTCTCTTTCAGGCATTTCCTGGTAAATATGGGGCCGTAGTTTTCAGCCACCACGTCGTCAGGTTGCAATGGACGGGAGGCTTTGATGACTATTTGCTTGCCAACGAAATGCCTGAAAATACAATCGTGATGGTAATATACAAGCTAGCACGACTAATACGTGTTTCATGATGAATTTATTCATAAACAAATCGAAATTCCGAATATATTTTTCGTCAAACAGTGTCGTTTGAAAATGTCGAATTTGTGTATACCCTTGACGTGGGAATGCTGTATATGTTTTCAATTATCGCAGGTCAGCAGTTGGCTGCACTTTAATCTCACCTACCTGGTGACTGCGGGGTAGCAGTCGTGGTTGAAGAGAGCCACCGTGGGGTACACCGCCACCCCTATGTAAACGACCTTGGATCGTTTGAAACCCCGCTCACCGGCGTTTCTAGTCTCGTATATCTCGTGGGCATTGAATTGTAACATTTGCAGATGGAACAGGAGCAGCTCCCCTATGCAATATTCCTCCTCTGTGGGTGCGACTGAAACATTGCAGTGAGGAAATTAATTGAAACTCGGGAGAATGATAGTCATTAATATGCGAATGGCTTTGATGCGAATATTTACGTTGAATGAATGTTAAATATACAGGGAGTCTAAACATTTGAAACTTACTTTTTAAAGATTACTCTATTTTGTTATTTATTTTTTTATAGAATTTGTGTGTCCAACAGAGAAAGAATCATAGATGAAAAGGTACAAATTAAATTTAAATGATTTAAATCACACTCTATTTAAAACTTGACACAGGAGAAACAAATTTCAAGTCGTCTGCATATATTAATTTATGGCAACTGAGAAAGTCGTTAATAAGAATAGTAAGTAGAAGAGGGCCCAGATTAGAACCCTGGGATACTCCAGAGATAATTATGTAACGACTAGATAGAATTAGATTGTAATGCAGGCGACTCGACAAATATGACTTAGAAAACTTTAACAAATTGTCACAGAATTCATGATTTTTTGTACGAACTGATTTCATTAAATAATCCATTTGGATCCTATTAAATGTGACGAAGAAAAACCATATGTACACTCTGTTTAGTTGTACTGGTTTTAATGGTGAATGATAAATTATTGTTATTACAACAAATATGACGATGGAATCAAATGGCTATTGATGCTTTATCTGGTTTCTGTGACTGTGGCATACGAAAATGTTATCGAAACGTTCAATTAAATTATAGTAAATATCAAAAGTTTTACTCAGTTTTTGCAAATTTGAAGAATATTTTAAAGTAATTTTCAACAAATATATTGTTGGATATACAGTTACGAACTAGCTTTTGCGATCTCCACTGCTGTTTCATTTGCTGGCGTCCACAAAAAATTTTTGTACACAAAAAACGAAACTAGAATAAATGTAATTATTTTCTGCCATTTATGGGTGATTTTTAACAGACTTACCTGCATTTTAATCTCTAAATCTTGTAAGAACCCTGTTGTATACATAATTGTCAGACGTAAACATATTTATAGACTATAAAATATGCAAACAAGTGTGTTATTGAAGAAACTATTAGATACGTCAACACTTTTATTTTTGTTTACAGAGAATATGTGCCAAAAGTTAAAAATAACTTTTAATATAAAAGTTGGAAGAACTGTTACATTTTGCTACATTTGGCAACACGGTAGTTATTTAAGACAGTGGCGTAATCATATTTTTCCAATGGAACTGTACGCCATTGAATTACGTGACTTTTAAAAATCAGTCTCTTGAAAAAGTAATAATTTAATATCATCATAATTAAAATATAAATTTGCACAACTTTTCGGTTGATTTAATTTTTCAGATTAACGTCGATTAATGTTTTAATATATACAGGGTGATGCAGTCATAATGTCATTAATTATAAGGGAAAATAGGGGAAAATGAGTAGAATACGAATAAAAAAAGTAAACGTTATTTACGCTGAAAAAAAATCAAATTATTATTTTAACCCCTTTGACCTACCGTACTGTACTGTTCTGTCACTAACCTAACTTTAATATATATTCTTAACATTTTCACTGTTTCATAATTGAATATGAGTTTTTAGTACTACCTATGTTCAATGTAGGTAATTATTTAGTTTGTAGTACATATACCTTATTGTGTAACTTACTACTTTTCACAGTTGTATGATACTTATATAAAATGACAAATACGGCTAAAAAACACTTACTCTTTTGTCCATGAAGTCGTTGCATTTTGATAGCAATTGCATAACTGGACTAGATGACGATTAGGAAATCAGCTGTTTCGCTTCAACGGGAGTTAAGAGGGTAATTTGCTGATTTTTTAAAAGATCGAAAGTTGTTTTTCGATTTTGTGTCTATTACATTTTCATGCGAATAAAAACTTTCAGTAAAAATTAAAATACAGTTTAGTTATCTTCAATGAATGATTCATAGAATGAATAAAATATCATTATAAAATCATGTAAAAATTGTTTATTTTAGTTTTATTCATCAGACGGAAGTAGGTAGTAACTAGATATTAGTAAAAATGCCTACTTAAAATAGAAAAAAAAATACTTTAACTTACTTCTGTTTCTATCGCCTCTTCCAAAGTATCCACTTTTCTGAAGACATCTGAGCAGAAAAGCTGCCATCAGCGTCCTTTGCAAAAAATCCTCAGCAGGTCTGATGCTCGCGTTGGTGCACAACGAATAAACCTTCTCCCTGGACCTATCCTTGTAAATTTCTAAACATTTACTCAGTTCTATCTGTGTTATCATCCTTAAAGCGGTGTGGGAAAGGATGCTCATGCCTGATCCTAGGAGAAGGTCCAGAAATTTGCACTCATACTTGTGGTAAGTTGAAAGAGCAGCCTCTTGGCAAGCTTGATTGCAGAATGCCACGTTTGAGCAGTCTAGACATCCTATGGGGGATACCAGTCTAAAAATTGATGACTTCGTAAGTTTATCACAAAAGATAATGAAATATAATAATTAAAATATAAGAATATGGAGCGATTTTGACCCACCTGTCGAAGCAATGATGACAGTGGGTCCCAAACATTTCAGGCAGCAGGCAAGCTGCATATGGAGGTTCGACGACTAATGTTTCACCTGTTTTAACAGTTTCGTTAGCCACTACGTAACGACCCACTCCTTCCTTGTGCCTTACAGACAGTTTCTTTGAAGCACAGGGAAACGTAGAGTGAGGCTGTCCCTCAATAGAGGGCAAAACTAAAAAAAAATAGATCATAATGAAATAAACAGCAAACCAAGTATTTCTTACATCTCCTATTCTCTTTCTTCCTCTCCACGTAACTAGCTGTCCTGTCTCTTTCCAGTTCTTCCTTGTTTAATTTGCTGCCCAGTAGCTTCTCGGCTAGAGCGAAAGCCACGTTAGCTCGATTTTCCTCGTTTAAAGCCTTATAGCAAACAGCCATTTTCCAGAAAGACTTTCCTTTGTAGGCAATTGGAAGGCCTTCCTTCAAAGCCAGTTGCATGTCGGACAAGGCTAAGGAGTGTTCTTTTTGGGATAAGAGGATTTGAGCTCGACCCCATAGGGCCAATGATAATGGAGACGCTTCCATTTTGGTATAAAGCCCTGAAAACAAAGTCAGTATGAAATATCTTTATTGCTGGTGTAAATTGATTGATATTTAGAATTGATCATTTATACAGAGGAATTAGTAGAGAGGCCCTAGAACTGTTCCTTGAGGAACTCTTTAAAATCGATTGTTCTGATAGTGATTAATTTTAAATACTTACCTGTTTTGGGTGCTCTCAGAACGCTCTGGCTATAGAGAAGCAAGGCCTTCTGCAGATCTCCTTCTTTGGTCGCCTTTTCTGCTTCCAGTCGTTTTGCTTCTGAAACCTCTGCACTTTTTCTTCTGTAGATTTCTTGCACGTTGCTCAGTACGTCAGTCATAGGAAGCATAGTCTAAAATTGTCCTATTTTTATTATTCTTAACAGAATTTCAAAGATAAATTATAATGAAATTCACATAAAAAAAAACAGACGAGAAAACTTTCCTTTCTACTCTATCAATACTTTCATGCATCAATCAAAATCATTGTATTAACTCTTAATACAAGCAATGTGTTTACATAAAATAAGTTTGGCATTGATAAATGAGGTAAGTAGATTTTCATATTTACCTGTTTGTGATTGTACACCAACCTAATTCGTTGCCTGTCGGTTTTCAGTTTGCCGAATACATGTTTTATCCACTCTTCTCCTACATTTTCACTGACCAGCTGGGCGAAGTTCATGAAAAACCCTTTTGAGTTCGTCTGTAAGGTTCTTTCACTGCACATAGCCATATAGCGATCATCCTTATATTGGTTCATATTTGAAGGGATATTTTATTGCAACAGGAACATAAGCGCACTTTATAGTGGCCAAACGAGACGGCAACTGACTTGTAGACGTAAATAGAAGGGTTTATTTTTAGGTATGTGCCAGGTAACTGGTAGGTTCNGATTGAAAAATTTTAAATGAGAAAGTTGTAGGTTTTAAAAAGATCTATCGACTGATTTTTTGTAAGTATCGATTGCTCAATCGATACTTACGATCGATCGAAAACCGTTAAAAATCTTCTCTTTTAACTTCTTCTATAACTCGTTTACATCTATGTTCCTATACTTGCTATTTACTGCAAGCATAGCCCGCAGCAAGCCAAAAAAGTACATTTTTGAAAAATTTTAAAATATTAATTATTTTTCGAGATATATCGATTTTTTGAAAAAAAGGCGCCCTCGAAAATTGGCTAGATCCTCTCAGCGGATAGCATGTTGCACTTTTTTGGGGTATGTTTTTTTCAAATAACTATTTCAATTTTTATTTTATGAAAATGACTTAAAGAAAGAAACTGCCGACATTTTTTTACGAATTGAAAAAAAAAATGTTTTTCTACGACCTTCTGAAGCCGAGATAATTTTTTTATTTAAAACAAATTTTGAGGACGCAATTAACATTTTACAGCGATGCGCTTGATGGAGGTTAATATTGAATATATAAAAAAAAGGATATGTTTACTTGATTTTTAGTATTAGTAATTGAGTAATAAACTGAAGCGTGCAAGTGCGTCAGCTGGACCGGACGGAGAAGTAGGGGGAAGCGGTGCGCGCTCGCTCTGAAAACTGATGACGTGCAGTCTAAATGGCTCGCGCTTGCAAAATGTTTGATATCTCGGCTTCTAGACCACGTACAAAAATTATTTTGCACTTAATCTGGGGTAGCTAAACATGAATATTATAGTCATTTTCGCTTTAGAAGCAAAATAGTCCGGTATGTGTTTGACAGAATGCTTGGACTAGATATATTAAAATGTACTTTCTATGTATATATTTTCAAATCTAGTTAGTGACGATAAGCACTAGTACTTATCAGACTTTTTTTCGAAAAACATAAGAGAGTAGTACTTAATTTGTAGAAAATTGAAAGACGAATCCGAAAATATCTTGGTTGTTACCGTAAAGCAGTGGCGTACTATTTTATTCAGAAAAATAAGCCCTCAGATTTTAGAAAATGTTTAGGTAAATACATGTGCCCAGTTTCAAATTATTTCACTTACTAGTTTTTATATTATATAAAAATATTAAAAATATTTTTTGAAGTTTAACANTAGTGATTAATTTTAAATACTTACCTGTTTTGGGTGCTCTCAGAACGCTCTGGCTATAGAGAAGCAAGGCCTTCTGCAGATCTCCTTCTTTGGTTGCCTTTTCTGCTTCCAGTCGTTTTGCTTCTGAAACCTCTGCACTTTTTCTTCTGTAGATTTCTTGCACGTTGCTCAGTACGTCAGTCATAGGAAGCATAGTCTAAAATTGTCCTATTTTTATTATTCTTAACAGAATTTCAAAGATAAATTATAATGAAATTCACATAAAAAAACCAGACGTGAAAACTTTCCTTTCTACTTTATCAATACTTTCATGCATCAATCTAAATCATTGTATTAACTCTTAATACAAGCAATGTGTTTACATAAAATAAGCCTGGCATTGATAAATGAGGTAAGTAGATTTTCATATTTACCTGTTTGTGATTGTACACCAACCTAATTCGTTGCCTGTCGGTTTTCAGTTTGCCGAATACATGTTTTATCCACTCTTCTCCTACATTTTCACTGACCAGCTGGGCGAAGTTCATGAAAAACCCTTTTGAGTTCGTCTGTAAGGTTCTTTCACTGCACATAGCCATATAGCGATCATCCTTATATTGGTTCATATTTGAAGGGATATTTTATTGCAACAGGAACATAAGCGCACTTTATAGTGGCCAAACGAGACGGCAACTGACTTGTAGACGTAAATAGAAGGGTTTATTTTTAGGTATGTGCCAGGTAACTGGTAGGTTCTTTTCATGGTACGGTTTAAACGAATAACGGGGTATACAGCGTGTTTCTAAAAGCACCTGTCGAACTTTACTTGGTGATAAATAGAACACATCTAAAAAAGAAAAAAGTTTATGTAAACGTTTAAAAAACGATCCAGTTTTTTGTAATACATGGTGTCCCGCTAACAGTTCAAAGAAAACTGGGGGGAGGAAAATAGTGGAGGTAGTTTATTTTCCTCATGCTTTTCCGAGGTATAAAGTATTGGAAGTTGTTACTCTGAAAGGGGTTTTTCTTAATATTCTTTACAGTCGGTTAAAAATAAAAACGTCAAAATTTGTACAGAGTGATTCACTATATTTTGAACCCCCCCCTTTAACTTTTTTGTTTTAAGAGTTATAAAAAAATGTGAAATATAAAGGTTGCACGTTTGTTTATGAAGTTCTCGAAAATGACAGTAGAAAACAAATGAAGTCTAAACAAAATAGCCGTGGATGTTTGTTAATTGAAATGGATAACTTGACAGTATTTTAATTTTGGCAGCAGTAAAGGCGATTGAGACGATTGATTCAATAAATCCCTTATTACATTAATCTAAAACAAAACAAATTTATTAATGCACAAAACGCGATAACCTACCTGAACATAAACTATAACCTCAGACGTATTTTAGTACAGTCAAAGAAGCTGAAAATCAGCTATAACCTCCGAATTCTTTGAAACTGCATGGATTTGCATGAAAAATTAGAGTAAGGCTCATCTTAGGCTCAAGTTCAAAAGTGACATAAGCCCGATTGATGCTTTTTGTTTTTTAGGGTTAAAAATTACCCATAAGTGAAAAAAATTAAGTTTTAAGCATTTTATTGGTAAAAATCTTGTTCAAGCACAAAGATTAAATAACGTTCCATGTTCTCGAACACGTTTTGATCTTTCCGACCCTTTATTTAACCCTTAAAAACTACCCCTATGCAAAAAATAATGACAAAAAATTACTTTTTAAAGAATTAGAATGATTAAATCATTAAATCATTTAAAATAAAAATTACCTTAAAGCTAATAAAATAACTTTTCCCTTTCAACCCCTAAAAACCACCCCTGTATTGACAAAAATGATAAAAAATTACGTTTTAAAAGCTTGGAATGTTTTAACAGTGCAATTATTTAAAATAAAAATGTCCTCATGAAAGAATTTGTATCTCATAACACTTTTCAACCCTTATAAATCACCCTTGTGCTAAAAAAATGATAAAAAATTACGTTTTAAATCTTGGAATGCTACAATTGTGCAATAATTTAAAATAAAAATTCCCTTATATTGTTTATAAAAGAATATTTTACTGTTGCCATTTTCTCTTCTCTTTCTCTTTCTCTTTCTCTTTCTCTTTCTCTTTCTCTTTCTCTTTCTCTTTCTCTTTCTCTTTCTCTTTCTCTTTCTCTTTCTCTTTCTCNGTGCAATTATTTAAAATAAAAATGTCCTTATGAAAGAATTTGTATCTCATAACACTTTTCAACCCTTATAAATCACCCTTGTGCTAAAAAAATGATAAAAAATTACGTTTTAAATCTTGGAATGCTACAATTGTGCAATAATTTAAAATAAAAATTCCCTTATATTGTTTATAAAAGAATATTTTACTGTTGCCATTTTCTCTTCTCTTTCTCTTTCTCTTTCTCTTTCTCTTTCTCTTTCTCTTTCTCTTTCTCTTTCTCTTTCTCTTTCTCTTTCTCTTTCTCTTTCTCTTATAAACTACCCTTTTAACAATATTAATGTAAAATAATTTTATTGAGTTCTAACATTTTGCTCTAAAAATGAGAAAGCCAATTTTGCTCCGAAAAAATGTCATTGGTTTTTTTACCATAACTCGCTTAATTTTGAAGTTATAGTATCCTACAAAAAAGCATTTTAAAGATAATTTCAAGAGCTGTAAGATTGTTTTCATATAAAACCTTTTAAGTCCTTCGTTTTTTAAAGAGAAAGGATCGAAGATCTCGCGACAGGTCGTTTTTTCAGTAAAATGGATACTTCAAGCGGCGATATCTCCTTTATTTTTTATGCTATAGGAATAAAAAAAGCAAAATATTTGTTGAAAAAAAAGTTACATTTTTGTTGTCTATGATTTCTTACGTATCTTTCATAGTTTTAGAGTTATTATATAAATAAGGCAATTTTTTTGAATAATGAAAAATACGTTTTCAACTTTTACCGTACATTATTCAAAAAATACGCATTATAAACCGGTCTAACTTCAGGACCGTATGAAAAACACTAATTGTAAAACAAAACTAATTGTAAAGGGTTTACGATTAATTTTAATTCTGATGGAAATGGTACAGCGTTTACTGCTCATTTTTCCTTTAAAAATATGAGCAACCCATCTGTTTTAGACGATAACTCCTTCAATTTTGCTCTAATTAACTTCTATAAGCACTCATTTTGAAGGTCTTTTTGAGTACTACAAAAAACTCCAGGAGCGTCATACACGTAAAATTAATCCTTTTTCCGTTATTTGACGTTGAATATATCGATTCAAGTATTCTTCCCAAAAACAAGTCCCCTTCCACTAACCATATTTCGCTTTGTATAGGACGTACAACACTTTTTAAAAAA